TGTGCTGTCGGGGTCGGTGCTCTTGGCCTCTTTGCTCTCATCGTCCCGGGAAGAGTCGGACTTTTTGCCGGATGAGCCGTTCTTGGCCGCCGCCGCTGCGGCCGCCGCTGCGCGCTCCTGCTTGCGGAACTTGGCGCGGCGGTTCTGGAACCACACCTGGCCCAGGGGGAGAGGAGAGGCGGTGAAACCCGGGGCAGAGAAGGGGGTGACACGGACAAGCGCAGTCGAGGGAGAGCAATTCCACGTCTGCTCGCATGACCCTCGCCTTTCCAGAGCGCACTTGGCGAGCCTGGGCCCTGCGTGCCGCTGGCAGCCCTGCACCACCCAACCCATCACATCTGTCCTTTTCATTGGTTGGAGCATCTTCAGAGAAACTTTCTGAAGGCCAGTTTAGTGAGCTAGAAAAAAACGCTTGAAAAAGAAAAAAGAATAGACAGAGGATTCCCAAAGTTCCCTAACATGAGAGGTTGCTCCTTATTTCGGTAGCTATTTGCTCAATGGTTTACATGACCCTTCAGCTCACCTGGCTGTTGCTAGGCCTCAGAGTTTAAAGTTAAGCGAGCTCTAACGGGTGGGCAAATGAGCGGACCTCCGGGTTTGGAACCAGCTGTTGCTCTCCAGTTCTGGGCCTGCAGGCGCTCACTGCCTCACCACCTGGGGCTTCATCTAGATAGTCGTCTGCTCCCAGCGCTACCTGCTTGTAGGTGCCAGGCCTGCCTCCTAAGCCGACTTGGGGACGCACCTGAGCCCCTCACAGGTTAGAGAAAGTGCTTCTCAATCTGCAGGGAGTCACAGCTCTTTGCAAATCGAATGCAAGTCATAATACTCAGGAAAAGACACCTGTCCACCAAGGGCGCAGGTTAAAAGAGCTGAAGCTTCGTCACACAAATACATAAACAACAAGACAAAGCCACTTTACAACTTTACAAAGTTTGCCCTCCTCCCCCTGCGCTGGCCACCTCTAGAGCCCTGCAATGTCTCTAGCGCTCGCTTTCCAAACCCCTAAAGCCTCTTGCAGCGTTAGCTCGCCAGGGATACAGGGTTTGCAGCTGGGCATCAGTCAAGCGCACGCCCTAATAATACTTCCTCTCAGTCACGCTGAATCTGTCCCTGGACCACAGGGCGAAAACCGGGAATGGGCAGCCCGCCCGCAGCACTGCCCCTCTCTCGCTGGCCCTCCTTTCCTGTCCGGGTCCAGCCGAGGAGGCCAAGTTGGAAGGCGTGCGTACCTGAACTCGCGCCTCAGTGAGGTCTATCTTCAGGGCCAGCTCCTCGCGCGTGTAGATGTCCGGGTAGTGCGTCTCGGCAAAGACCCTCTCCAGCTCTTTGAGCTGCGCGCTGGTGAATGTGGTGCGGATGCGCCGCTGCTTGCGCTTCTCATTGAGGCCGCCGTGGTCGGTGAAAAGTTTGTAAGGAACTGGGCAAGGAGAGAGGGGCGAGAGAATGAGCCAAACCCCCAATGGGCGCGAGAACCACAGCGCGGAAATGCGGGGACGCCGAGGTCAGGGGGACCCAAAGTCTCCACGCACGCACACTGGCCAGGGAGTGCCGCCGAAGGAAGTTGCCCAGAGAAACGGAGCAGATAGAGAGGGAAAACAGACAGATAACGTGGGGCATTGGTGGGGTCCCTCCTTGGGTAAGGACCTTTGGGTAGCTTGAAAGAAAATATTAGAGTTGACCGAGGGCCGGAACACGACACATCACAATTAGTGATCTGAGCGGGGAGGAAAAAAAAGTCCAGGAACTTGGGTTGTAATATCAGGGAACCAGGGAAGAGGTTTTCAACGTCTCCCACTGGACAAGCTTCTCAGTTCTCAGAAGTTGACCTGGCCCAAAAGTTGGGGCAAAGTGCTGCGGGGAGGGGAAAAAATAATAATAAACGAAAGAAAGAAATCATCCTAAAAATGACCAGCCAGAGAGGTGTGAGCTGCTGTCGTCTCTTAAAAGAAGAGAGAGACACTGCCAGTAATGAGCTTTCCTCTTTGTTATTTAATTATTTTCTAAGCTTTACGTCTCATCGCAAAGTAAATAAATTATGCCTATCATTTTGGCAGCTTAAGATAATTTTGTTGGCGTTTCGGGTGTGACTAGGATAGTGTAGCCCTGTAAGTGAATTACCCCCTCCCTGCAATCGCTTCTAACGTGATAAATTCTTTCATTTGTGTAAGCAAATTTCGTTTGGTAAATACTAAACACATTTCCATTTTCAAATGCAATCAAGACTTCCTATATACGCGCGCAAAGGCAGCTTCCTCGGTGGAGAGAGCTGGCGGTCCTTACCTGCGGCGTACGGACTGCTCTGGTGGTCTCTGAGGGTGCCCAGGCTGCAGGATCCCGGCGTGAGGGACGGGCAGCCGGACGTGGCCCCAAAAGTGGTCCTGATCGGGTTATACTGGAAGCCACTGGCCTGGCTGCAGGAACTGAAGTCAGCATAGGCTGAAGCCAGGCTCGAGGTGTCCATGCCAGCCATACAGGACTCGTAAGCAGAGGAATTGAGGTAAGAATATTCCATTTTATACATTGAAAAGGCTCTGGGTGGCTCGGCCAAGTGGAAAAAGGAAAGAAAAGATGGGTCTAGAGAGGGTGGCTGCAGAGGGGAGATGCGCACAGCTCAGCGCCTGCCTCCAAACTGGCCTCCTTACTACCAGCAGAGCCTAGTTTTATGAAAAAGCCTCCTATGAGATGCCTTGTCTGCGGTCTCTAGAGCATATAGTCCTCATAATAAACTTGGCTCTTTCCACTTGGACAATAGCAAAGCGGTTGGTCTTATTGCTGGCGCTTTTTACATGACAATAACTCATCCGTCGATTGGGCTGGCACTGGGGAACTGAGCTGTCCAACCTCCCTATCATTGATTCCTGCATCTCTAATTAGAATTTAATACCACACCATTACGCACGGAGCCCCTGATCCTCCCTTCTAACCAGCTCCCTGCCCTTTAATTCAATCACACTACTTGGAAATAATGAAAGTTGGGTGACGATTCTCCCTGATCCAATTTCCCCGAGCTTTTAAGCCTTTTTAACTGATCGTATACCTTAGGCATAAATCGAGAGTGTGTGTTTTCCCCCTTCTTCGTCTTTCTTTCCTTTTTTCCCCCCTCTCCCTTGGTTAGGGAGAAGAAACCTTGATGTCATAGAAAACCTGTTTTGTAAGAGCGTTACACGCTCAATTTAACAACAAGCCTACCCCCCGAAGTGCATGAAATGTTATAAAGGAATGGGACATTGGCAAGACTCAGGCGCCCTGTAACATAGAGTAAGTGGGCCACCGGGGGCTTATGTGAATCTTAAGCGGATATCTTTAAAATACACCTGGTAGAGGGGGTTAAAAAAAAAAGTGCATCTTAAAAATTTTACTTCTTGTCGCTGGCTAATGTGCTTTGCTGGAGACTCGGCTTACACAGCTGCTTTAAGACTAAAAGGACATGGGCGTAAAGCGCTTGAATGGAAAACCTTTGCTTTTCATCGGATGCGTCTTTTTTGCGCTCTGGGCGCGTCTGCACTGATGCCAGTTTCGAATGCGGTTGATTTCGAGGTTCTGTGCGGTGGTTCGTTTTAATCACGCCATAATCGGCAAGCGGGAAGGGAAGGAAGCTCAGATGGATATCTTCTCCCTTTCATGCTGTTCTTACCGCCCGGTCTTTCCCTTCCACGTTCGTCCACAATCCTCCACAGACCCGGGGCTTTGGGGAGGCGATTACTATCTGCCCTTCAGTTTTGCGCCGCAGTGCGTGGAATCCTTGGCATTTAAATGCCCAGGCAAGGGGCTACAGGTGGGGCACTGTCTTAGCCCAACTCCTCAGGCCCTCGGAGTGCTAGTGGAGAGGCGCGCAGACAAAGGAGCAACCTTGATTTGTGGCCCTCGGTGGCCCATGATTTAAGCGGAGGGTGATTTTCATTTGGTTGGTTAAGCTTCAGCGAAGTAAGGGAGAGTATTTCATTAAATCCTTCCTCTCGGTGGACAAGAGGGGGGATGTTTAGCTGAATCGCCCTGTTCTGTAAACAAACCCTGGATATTTTATATGAATTAAATGTGTAGATAATTAGTTTTATTGCATTCATTACCCCCTTTATGTGCTCTGTAACAAGTCAGTAATTAAAGTAACAAACTCATAAAGTCTTTATAGGGGCATTTAGGCGTTCAGTGTTTGCCAAACTAAGTGGTTTAATTCGATGCTAGTGCCGGGGAGTGGATGGGCGCCCTCTTCCCATGGCCGCTGTGTGCTTTATTGCGCACTAAACTGCCTCGGACGCGGTAATGGATTAAGCTGGGCCTGCGGCCCCCAGCCTCTCGCGTCTCTGCAGGGTGAGTATGCGGTGCGCACGAGTCCTGCAGGCGGGAGGCCGCCTTGACGTAGCCAGTGCAGGCAGCAAGGCCCACCGAGGAGCCTGGTGATGGTTTTATGGGGAGGGCTGATAGTTTTATTGCAGTTGCATGTTGTACAATGCGTATTTGATAAAGAAGGGCCCTTGGTGGCCTGTGTGCACTTTTTTGTGCGCGGGGGTGAAATGAAAATAAATGTGAACAAGGTCTAACTGCGGCGGGAAACGAATGGCAAACCTCTAAATGGTTTTTCTTTATGGTCACCAGACAAGAGGAGAAAAACGATGCAAACATCTGTCTTCAGTCCCCTAAACCTAAAGGCCAGCAAAGACGGATGCGAATCCAAGTGTTATTACAGCGGGGATTTGTCTTTATTTATCCCCGCTCTCGTGAATACGAATCTGGAATCTGCATTTGGGCCGGGAGGGGGGCTGTGTCCCTTTAGATGCCACCCTAACCAGCCCCCGCCCCCACCACCAGGCCACTTAAAGGGGGGAGTGAAATGTCGAGCACAAGGCTGCAATTGTCCAACTTTCTTGCTTTTCTCTGTTCTTGTGGGGTGCTTTTTGGTTTTCTGATCTTGAGCCCACCTTCCCCTGAGCCCGCATTAGGCAGACGTTGGTGCATAACCAGCTCAGACCTCAAACGCAGACTGTCAACGTGATTCTCGGGAAAAGGGGGTGGCATGTGGTTAGGGGACACTGGATTACTTGCCAGCTTCTGCCCGCGAGCCCCAGCACACCAGGGTGGGCGCCTCTGCAGGGTGCAGAGAGAACGCATCCAATCCCCACTCCCTGCATTATCCGATTGAGTATTCGTCTAGTGAGGGTCCCTGCGACCTGGACTCCATCTATACCTAGTAGGAAATTCCACCTTGTAGGCGGTCAGTCTCCAGACTCCTGTCGCCACCAGCGCGATGACAGAAGCACTCGCGGCCTGGAGCGTGCAGGGTTGTGTCCCCCAGTTTTGAAACTGACGCTTGGGTGTCCACCTGACAGCAGTTCCTGTGCAGAGGGAAAGGTTAAGACAAGGGACTGGTGTGTGGCTGAGGATGCAGAATGTGGACGGAGGGTCAGGCACGGAGAAATGCCAGGGAACAGGGCAAGCGCTTTACGGAATGTGCCGGGGAGTGGCAGGCCTCGGGAAGGCGAGTGCTCGTCGCTGTCCCTCACTCTGTGCATGCCCGGACCCCGCTGGCCAGCCTGGACCTTCGTTCCGCCTCGCCCTGCGCTTGGTTCTCACTCCGTGTCCTTTGGTGCCCACCTGGGAGCACCTCCGCGTGGCCACCGCTCGGCTCGCGCATCCTCCAGGCGCCCCCTGGTGCCCAGCCTCGCCCAGCGCGCAGTGCGGGAGGCTCCTGGCTCGGTACCCGGAGACCTTCAGGGTCCTGCCGGCCCTCACGGTCGGATGAGCTAATGCGCTTGACTTCATTTTCCCCTTTGTAGGCCTTGTAGCTTTATTTTGGGCCGTGTCACCGTCCCTCCTCCTCACCCCTGGCCCATCACCCCTCTGCAGGTCTTTTGTGGCCCGAGGCCCTGCTTCTGCTCCGGAGATGAAAGGAATGTGGGGCCTGGCCAGGCCGCACCCCCAGCCCCAGCGCCCTGTTTTGTTCTAGTTGTGCTTTCTACACGCGAGCTCTCCCCTAAAAGTTGTACCAAATGGCTAATTTAATTATTCCAACTATACACCAACTGCTTCCACCACGCGTCTGGGAAGAAAAAAGAAACCATCTATAAGAAATAATCTAATAAAAGTGAAGTGTAGAAAAAGCCCTCCTGATTTTCAACCGTCACAAATAGAATTAGAGTTTCAGCCTCCTTTTTCCAAACAGACCTTTTGCCCGAATTGCAGCTTCAGTCAACCAGCAATGTAGACGGTGGTGCCTGCTGTTTGTTTTCATAGAAGCGGGTGGATGGCGAGATGTATGGATGGATGGATAAATGGCCCCATGGATAGATGGATGATTGGATTCATGTTCCCTTGACTTCCCTTTCTTAATATGTGTACACGGTTGGTTTTTGTCTCTCCAGCTGATTTTCTGAATTAATAATAAAAAGCCAGTGCTATGAGGTTAAAAGGGAAAAAAAAAAGTCATGTAAATCACAAAAGCAAGGCGAGGGAGTACCAGCACATACAACATGAGAGAGAGGGGGGAAAGGTTTACGTGTTACCAGTACGAATGCAAAAGTTTGAAAGTTTAAAAGAAACTTTTCTTTCCTTTTCTTCGCCCCATTCATAGGAAGATTTCTCCCCCCCCCTTTTCTTTTTTTTTTTTCCTTGAAAGTCAGAAAGAATGTTAGAAGACAAGGAAACAAAACAGCAAACAAAATGTCATTGTGTTGTAGGAGCAATTCATGGGAAAATGCTTGTCAGTCGCTTAATGCCTCAATCCTGGGAGGCTGTTTTGAGGCTGTTTGACCGCAGGCGAAGCACAATAACACGGGAATGAATAAAATATTAAATACCAGCGAGGGTTTCAGAGGAATTTTCTTTTTGATTGCTTTATTTGACGCTGCATCCAAATGATCCCAGCACAGTGAGGCCATGGCCTTGCGAGCAGGACTAAGCCAACGATTTTCTCCACCAGAAAATTAAAGGACAAGGTTTGTCCTTGAGCGTCTGCAGGAGGCCTCTCTGCTCTCCACAGTGGCTCCCACTCACCTGCACCAAGAAAGTTAAGATGATGGGTTTTACTGGGACGCTATTTCCCTGGAACACCAAGCAATCTCACCACAGCACCCCAAGCCTGAGGACACACAGATACACAGATGTAGACCCTCTTGGCTTTTCCAACTACTTTCCACATTTTCCATTAACCTCACAATGGTATTGCACTCCCCCCACCCCCTTCTTAATAGAAACTCTCTGGAGTTCTGCTGGTAAGTAACCACCTGGCACTGTGAAACTAACAATTATTAAGGAATCAAGGAAGTAGTCATGTGAGCAAAGCAATGAACACAATCCTTGGCACCTGCCAAGTATCCCTGACTGTTCGCCACCAGGATGATGGCTATGGCAGTGATGTTGGTGGGGAGCCTCCTTGAACTGTGCTCTAACATGTTGGCCATCTTTCCTGCTGTGTGTTTATCATGTATGTGAGAGGGGTAACAAACCAAGGCACAGTGTAAGGCAAGAACAGAACCAGGCAGAAAACTCTATCTTTTAGGAATTCACCAGAAAGCAAACACTTTAGAT